ATTAATAATTATTAAAATTTAATATTTTGATTAATTAATAATTTATAGGGAGAAGAGCTTCTGCTGGAACATTTAGGCCTAAGAGCCTATTTGGTCTGGGTTGTGAGAGCTTTTGTTTTTTTAGTATTGTTATGAGTGATAAATTTAAAATTTTATTAGAGAAAAAATTTAAAAGTTACTTTTAGAAATAGAAAAAAATGAGTGAAAAGTAAGTAAAAAGGGAGTTTATGAAAAGTTTTGATTTGAAGTTTTTGAATTTTTACTGTTTGAGATCTTTTTAATGTTAAAAAAAAGTTTAAAAATATAAGCTTTTAAGAGAGAAATTTAAATTTATGAAATATGAATAGCGTCAAAAAGCTGAAATTTCTAAGAGTTCCACTAAACAGGCTCTAAGTTTGCCACAGGAGAAGCACAGTTAAAATCTTTTCAAACAATTTATGCCTTAATGCCTTAAGTGGATTGTGATTTGTGCCTGAGAAAATCCATGAGCAATTACCAAATTAAGATGCTGCCATAGGAAGCAAGGAGGTTATGTTCACAAACCCAATTGTTTTGTCCGCTGGGATTTGTTTCCCTTCTACGAATATCTTTCACCTCCACGGACTCCACCTAGCATTTCTCCTCCAAATGCAATTGCAAATTCAACTAATACAACTAACCCAAAAGGTAAGTACACTATCTTGGAGGAAGTGATGTATTTCATATCATGTTGAACTAAATATGAGTATGGTTACGTTGTGTATAACATGAAAAAGAGGCAAAAAATTCTTAGTTCTTCTCAAAAATTTATTTTTAAGTTTGTTAAAAGGAATTACATAAATATTTCTGTTTATGCAGACAACAAAAGCATTGCTACTCCAACTGTCATTATTCTTGTTGTTTCAACCATTGCTTCCATGGCAATTGTAGCCATCGCTTGTGCTCTTCTCCGGATGAGACGGAAACCAAAGCAAGAAATTGAGGGTAATTGTTGCTCCATAATAGCCTTGGATATTCTAAGAATTACATAAAAAGAAGAAGAATTAAAAGTCATCCTATGATCGATCTTCTAGTCGCCTAGTTAAAACATATTAAGTGGGAAAATTCACATCAATAAAATAATAAAAAAATATGTTAGATAAATTCAAAAGCACCAGGTTGGAGACCATTCACAATAGTCCACTTTTCTAATAAAACTTGAGTTCAAGAGCTTCTAGACTTCTTCCTTAATGGTGTTTAGCCATTCTCCCCCAAAGAGTCTTTTCTTATGAGCTATTGGCTTTTTTAGAAAGTTGGTGCTTAGCTAATGCATTGCCATTGAAGGTAGGACCCCCGACGTTATATCATTCGTCCATGCAAAGACATCATTATTTTCCATAGGAATTCTACCAGTTCAGCCCTCTCTTTAAGCTTGAGCTTGGTCCTAAACTAAGTTGTTCTAGTAGAGTCATTATCATTTATTTGAATTGTCTCCACGTCTTCCCCAAGTTTGGTCCTCTACTTGACATCATTTGGTTGGTTATCTATGCACTCATTACCTATTGCTTGGACTCTCAGTCTTCTAGTATTATTAGTTAGACCTTTATTGTTAGTTCCTTTAGTCTTTCTAGAATGTTTAAAAGAAGATATATAACATCTCTTAGCCATGTCCTACTGTCCCCATAAGACTTCAACCCCTGCTAGAATAGGGAACTTCATGCAAAATTGAGATTGGGAAACCACCCCCTTATTGTGTTTAGTGTTGGCCTTCCTATAATTGCATTGTTAGATACAGGAAAAAGGCATCTTCCCAACTAAGAATTGAATAGATTGGTTCACATGTCTCGGCCCATCCTTAAACCATACCGATAATGTGATCACTTCTTCTACTTCTACCAGCTAGTTATTAAACTTGTATATCGATCCATCGTACTTTTTTAGGTGAGCTGGGTCTATTCTTAATTTCTAAAAGCAATGGTAATATAGGATATTTGGGGCACTTCCACTGTCAATGAAGACTTTCTCAGCATAAGCATCATCTATTCTAATGGTGGTGACCAGCAAGCCATTTTGAGGAATAACAACTCCCTAGAAGTCCGCTGGACCAAAAGTGACCAGTTGATCCCTTTACTTTGGCTCCTTAAACTTCCTCTTTTGTGCTTTACTCACTTGCATCACTTATCTAGCATACGCTTTTCTACATTGAACGCTAGTTCTTCTGACCTTTAGTCCCCCTGTTATCATGTGAATAATTTTGATTGTTGATGGAAGAGGAGCAAAAGGGGATTCTTATAACCAACTCTATTTCTATTTTGATTCTGATTCTGATCGTTGCCTCTGTTCTGCCCATTCTGACCATTTTGATCAAACTACCTACTCTGACCATGTTGTCCTCCTTGGTCATATGGTCTTTCAATCTCCTTGATGAACTTCTCTTGCCCCACGTTTGACAAATATTCACTCAACATACCCTTATAGGCTAAGCTTTCCAATTCCATCTTTAATTAGTGACACTCATCAATTGTATGTCCACGATTTTGGTAGAAATCACAATATTTAGTTTGATCATGCTTGCAAGCTACACTTCTCATCGGCTTTGGTCTCTTGATATCCATCTTATTCTTAATTTGCATCAAAATTTGGCCTCTTGGCATGTTGAAAGGTGTGAAAGTTGATTCCAATTAGTAATCTTTATGTCAAAAATAATTTTTTTGATCATTTTTTTCCCTATTCTTCCCATATGATTGTTTCTAGGGGCTCATAGCCTTTCCCTTCTTTTTCCTTCCATAATTGTCTTCGTCGACCCCCCTGCCTAACGCTTAGTAGAGATTGCTTGAGGGGTCAGCATTTTCTGAGACAATAGGAATTCTTATGCCACAATGAATTTCTTCAACCTTACATTAACTTTTCAAATGTGATTGGGGGATGTTTGACAAGGCTATCTCGGAAGCATTTATATCAAAGCCCCTAAATTACAACTATTATGCCCACGGCCTAATTAAATGGATTCACATCCAACACAACATCATTAAAGCAGTTCATATAATTCTTCAAGTTCTTTCCTTCTCTCTAAACTACTTGAATGAGCTGAGAAGTGGTCTTCTTTATCAACTTTCTACTTGAAAACTTGGTTGCAAACAATGTTTCCATTTTAATATATGAGCTAATTGACCTCGATGGTAGGGTGTAATACCAAGTTCCGGCATTCCCTTAAAAACTTGAAGGGAAGATCTTACACATGAAAGCATCAAAGGCATTTTGAACTTGCATAACTGAAGAGAAGGCAT